AAAAAAAAAAAAAAGCTATGCAGCTACTAAAAATTATTGCTCTTGAATTATATCAAGGAATAAGGGAAACTGCTTAAGACATATTTTTAAATGAAAACTTTAAGTTTAGATAATAAGATTAAAATTTGGTTTAAAAAGAATATGCACCTATATGCTCTAGAGCACGGAAAATGTGTGGAGGGACACATACCAAGCTGTTACCTAGCATGGATTACCTCTGGGCAGTACACTGAAGGCAGCAAGAGCTTTGATGTTTTACATTTTGCTGTTGCTTGAACTTCCTACAGAGAACATACTATTTTTATTTTTAAAAAGGAAGACAAAGAAAAGGGTGAACTACATATTCATACATCCAGAATGACCGAAAGGATTTATATCAAAAAATTATCTCTGGGTCATTTTCTTATTGCAAACTTTTTTATATTCCAAAATAAATATGTAATACTTCTGTAATCAGAAAAAAGTCATAAAAGGAAATAATCTATAATACCAATGATATAATCAATTTTAAATCTGTTTGCAAAGTCAAAGGTTATAGGGTTGAATGTTCTTTAAAGAGGCTTGGATCCAATTTCTTTTACTTCTTTGGGACTCGTGCTTACTTTTATTGCTGCTGAAGCTATTTCCACATTTTTTTTTTAAGGATTTCCATTCAGTGTGGCCAAAAAGGAAAATGGAGGCCAACCACAAGACAAGCCTTCCTGAGAGAAGACAAAAAGCCTCTGTACCCTGCAGAACGAAAACTTCACCAGGAGAACGCGACTCTTTTGTCATGACTGACTTCAATTGTTGGTGGACAGAAATTTTGAACGAGAACAAAGAGCACTGGAGTGACTTCGGCGCTCTGGTCGTCATTCCAGGCCAAGCACATAGTAACTTTATATTATAATGATGGGGACAAAGAACAAGGTGTCCCATTCACCACAAGCCTCCTGCAGCCAGAGGGTCCCAGGCCTTGGCAGAGCCTTTCACTGAAGTGGAAAGAAGGAACTTTCAAGGAGTGTGAAAGGGCTGTGAGCAAGTAAATCATCATCAACCATATAAACAATGGCAGAAATGGGTAAAGAGATGAAAAGATGCCGTCGGATCATTCACCAATGGAAAGATGTGCACTAAATCAGGGTCTTTTCTGTCTGACACTGTTGTTTTTACTGAACAGTTAAGCACCCAAGGAAATACCAGTTGGATCTTCAAGACAATTTATAGCTGGGTTGGCCTCCTTGCACCTGGCTGTGTTTTGACAGCAGGTTTCGTCAGTTTATAGCAGAGATTCTTGTCTACACTATAAGCTGTCACTAATGCAACTAGACCTTTGGAAAAAATGTATGCTCAGAGGCAAATCTCTCCCTTCCACGTCCCCCTCCCCCTTTTAATGAAAAGCAAAAGCCTCCTGCTGGTGGCAAAGCCTCGTTCTCTTCAGGGGAGACACTGAGCCTCCTGGGAGTGAGAGGGTCAGCCCCAGGACTGCAACTCAAGCGGGGTGAGCCTGCTTCTGGGCACTCAATTAAGGACTTTTTCTTTTCTCTTCCCTCGGGGATAATTGCTGAACAAAGCGACCTTGTTGTTTGGAGCAGGAAATTCGGGATTCTGCTCCCTGAACTCCCAACACTTCCCAGCTTCCAGGCCACGCTACCAATGTCTGGGGGCCTCGCAACAGCCTTGCCTAGGAACACAAGGCAGACAGGTTCAGCAGATGCCCCTCAGCCTCACCTAAAACAAGAAGGGCAAAGCTTGGCTATTTACAATCAGACAAACCTTTGTTTTCCTGAGGTTTTTGTACTCAGCCAGCGGCCTGGTTTGGAAGCCACCATCTTAGAAATCCCAGGACCTCGTTATAATATATATGAGTTGAAAGCCCTGCCTCCCATGACCAGGTGCTGCCTTACCCCACTCAGTTTGTTTTGCTTTTTTAGGACTCAAGATTTTATTCTTTCTTGTTCCCAGAAGGATTAGGCCAAACAAATAACTTTTAACAGGTGATACACATTCCTGAACCAAAGGTAATGTGTCCTTTTCAGGAATGAGCTCATGGTGGCTAGTGGCCGACATTTTCCCCTGTGTGGTAGAACAGACCAAAGATGTGAGTAGAGGGATGAAAAGGTAATGGAGAACAGCCCCTTCTGTTCCTTAATTTCATGGTTCACAGACATTCATTGACATTCAGACACTCCCAAGGGGAAGCTCATATAACCAGCCATTAAACCAGAAATGAGCAGGCTAACGGGACTGCTTGCCTGGGCCCAGGGCAGAATTTCTCACCACCTGGGGGTCCACTCCCAGACATTAGGGCCCACTATGATGGGTCTGTAGCTGTTCCAGGGGCCAGCCCAGACCAGGGAAGCTCCATGCCTGCAGGGTCCTTTGACCAGGCCCATCGGGAATGCCACCCTTGGACTTCTCAGAGCCCAGGCTCTAGCTAGGTCAGCACTCAGGCTGGTGAGGGGGCTGGGGCTGCCTGTAAGGCTCTGGGAAGCACAGGACCCAGGGAGAGTGAAGGGGAGAAGAGGCTCCAGGCCAGGTGATTCCCACAGAGTTAGAGCTGTCTGGGAACCTTCTCTCCCTCAGAGTTGCCCATGAGCTGAAAGGGAGGGAGAGAGTAAAACCTTCATTAGGAGTGGGTCCTGGTCCCTAAGAGAGAGAAATGAATCTACTGGCTCATTCAGATGAGAAGACCAACCTGAGGCAAGGATGCAGAAGCAGAGGAGGAAGGTGAGGGACAGCTGCACCGGGGAAATGATGGAGAAACTATGGGTCCCACAGGTCAGAAGAAAGCTGCAGGCAAGCCACTCACTCAGCTGGTTGTATCCAAAGAGCAGAGCTGGAGGCCAGCTGCTCAACCCACTGGGGGCACTGAACTGTTGCTTGGTGACACCACCCAAAATATACATGACGCTTTGCACGACCTCATCTAATACACAGTTCAGGGTCAACCAGCATGTCCACCTATACCACTAGGTCACTTGAAGCAGAAGCCAGACACATCCATGATGGCAAGCTCAAAGGGGTGTGAGGTCATCATTTTCCTGACTTAGGGATACTCCAACTCAGTAAGATGATTACATATACATACACATATATCTCATTGTCGTGATTGATAGACTAAGCGGCAAGCTTTACTATTCTCCACAGACTCTCCTGAAGCAGTTATCTTGAGCGCACCTGTGGTATTCCAGAACTCTCAAGCCAGTCTCGGAAGATGTTTTCAACAGACAAGTCAAGCCTTTAAAAATAAAACAACAACAAAAAGTAAAAGATTAAAAAGTTACAGCGCACTTATTACACAGAATGGTCCTCTAACTATTCGGGCACATCCCAGCATGGATCTCTCAGAGAAGCACCTCATCTTTGGAGGAAGAGCAAGGCTGCCCCAGGTTACAGTGTAGAAAGGGGCCTAGTCACTCAGGACAGCTTCTCTTCAGCCATAAGATGAAATCTAAAAATCAGAGGCACACCATGATCTGTGCTTTTTTTTTTTGGTGAGGAAGATTGGCCCTAAGCTAACATCTGTTGCCAGTCTTCCTCTTTTTGCTTGAGGAACACTGTCCCTGAGCTAACATCTGTGCCAATCTTCCTATATTTTGTATGTGGGACGCCACCACAGCACTGCTTGATGAGCAGTGTGTAGGTCCACGGCTGGGATCTGAACCAGTGAACCCCGGGCCACCAAAGTGGAGCACGTGAACCCAACTACTATGCCACCGGGCCAGACTCCATAATTGGTGCTTTTACTGCTTGGAGAGGAACATTTTGGTCGACAGCACCAATTTAGGGAAGACAGGGCAAGTTCATAGGACACATCAGATGTGACTGCTTCCTGGAGAGCAGGGAGCAAAGTGAAATCTGAGCATTACAGTACTTAAAGTATAAAAATGAAATTCGAACTTCATAGTGATGATGGGCTACAACAAGCATAAACAATACAGATCATTCTCAGAGCACACAGAGGCTCAGCTGCATGGACCATGTGTGGCTTCCACCGCCTCTGCCTTCAAGCAGGCCCACATTCTGCTTTATTTGAAATACTATCAGGGCCGGCCTGGTGGTGTAGTGGTTAAGTTCACGCACTCTACTTCAGTGGCCTGGAGTTCACGGGTTCGGATCCCAGGCGCGGACGTACACCACTCATCAACCATGCTGTGGAGGTGTCCCACATACAAAAATAGAGGAAGACTGGCATGGATGTTAGCTCAGAGACAACCTCCTTCAAGCAAAAAAAGAGGAAGATTGGCAACCGATGTTAGCCCAGGGCCAATCTTCCTCACCAAAAAAAAAAAAAAACATAGCAGGCAGGACTTGGAGGCTACAGGGACAACTGCTCCTCTAGATGATGAAATACTATGATTGCTTCTTAAGCCTGATCCAAAGTCAGCTGAAATCCTTTTGGTTTCATGCCCTGCTGATTTGAATACTCCCTAAATGCACTAAGTATCCAATATATTTAGGGTCACCAGACTTCAGGTTATGTCTTCCTGTCTTCCTGAAGTTTAAAGCAATTCTTCTCTCGCTTCTAGATAACTTTTGCTCATGACCGCTCTCTCCACTCACAGAGGCCTTCCTCGAGCCTTCTCCCAGGCTGTGGGGTGACATCCACCCTGCTCCCTGTCCTCTGTGCCATGGCATCCACCCCAGTTGATGACTGCAAGGTATTTGATCACTTGACTTTTAACTCTCCTCATGGATTGAAGCTCTCTGAGATCAGAGTCCACGTCTGTTTTACTCACTTCCCTAAACCCAGCACTTAAAACAGTCCTTGGTATAAAAGAGGATTCTCACAGATATTTATTTGAATGAATGAAAACAGATTTCACTCCATAAAAATTATTCCTTTTAAATTAATCATCACCTTTCCCAGTAAGATATTCCCAAGTTTGTAAGCTCTGCATCTTTTTTTATTTTCTATATTATATACTACATTATATATGTCTCATATTCCCTTCCTCCCTCAGTCCCTCCCTCCCTTTTGGACTGCAAAGAAGTCCTAGGAAGATACAGTGCTATCTGCATTTGTTAAGGTGCTGAAGGCGGAGTGCCTCCCCTCCCCTCATGGGTTGGGCTGCAGGCTGGGCAGCAGAGAGAAAGGGAGGGAGGAGCGGGTGGGGGGTGGTGCTTGGGAAAAGGTGACTAACTGGGTATTTTCCCTTCCTTTTCTTGCCCAGACTCAGTGGAATTACTGGACGTGCCTCATGTGAAAGGCCAGGTGCCACCATCTCTGGGCCTTTCCCACTGCTTCTTTGCTGTCATTTAATAGCGTCAATCTCAGTTTGAAGGGCCAAGTCCCCTCTTAAGCTATGACAGTGTGGAAGTGTGTGTGTGCACTCATGTGCGTGCATGCACATGTGCAGTCATATGCCTGTATGTGAGTGTGCTCACGTGTGTGGGCGTGTGCATACTCACGTGGGGCAGGGGTAGGGTGACTTAAAGGGAGGAGGCATCTCTCAGAGCACCTTAAATCAAGAGGATCATTCTTTCTTGGGCTTGATTTATTTGGTTAGTTGTAGGGAGAGGCGCTGGAAATAGTCCCAACTGGCATAACTGATCTCCCAGGAGGAGGAAAGTGGGGCTGGAGGGGCCACTTACAGAAGTGTCCAAGGAGACCTGAAGTTGTTTTATTTTCTATTGAAATGTGTGAGGCAGGAAGGTAAGATAGATTTTTATAATTTCCATTGAAGACAGGATGGTCAATGGAAGGCCTGTTGTTGTTGGAATGAATGCAGATGGTGGCAACTTGTCTGGCACCAGGGTGTGGGTGTGGGTGTGGGTGTGTGTGTGTGTGTGTGTGTGTGTGTGTGTGTGTGTCACTTGGTGGAGCTGAGCTTCCGCCCCAAGGCTTGAGCAGTGCTGGAGGTTCTGCTGGCCTCTAAGTTGTCTGTCCTGATTTAGAGGCAAGGGCTCGTTTTCTTCCCTGTCCTTCCTTCATTGGTGCTTCTGTCTAAGTGGCCCCTTCATTTGCTTCCTTTCCACCCAGATAGCGATACTCCTGTGTTTGGAGCCCTGGGGCGAAAAGCTCTTGTCACCCGTTCCTGGAGAGAGACTCGGGTAAACCACAGAAAGAGGCTGACTCTGAACCGAGCTTTGTTGTGCTGTGGCATTGTAGGAAAACAGGCATTCTTAAAACTTCCACAACTTAAGAGGAAGATGGAGAACTTAGAAAGGATTTAGAAAAGAGCAGTAGTGATGATCAAAGGGGTAAGCACACTGGATCCACGAGGGAGGGCAAGGGAACTGGGATTAAATATCCTGAAGAAGAGAAGTCTGGGGAGTGACTTCATAGCCATTTTTGAGTGATTTTACAAAAGATGGTGAACAGCTGTTGGGCATCCCCATGGAGAAGTAAGAGTACATGGACATAAATTTCCTTCGGGGAATTTTAGCTTAAAGACACTTCTTTAGGGGTGGGATGGGGGAGGGGCTGGGGAGTTGAGTCCTGGAGTGTTACTGAGTAGGGGCCAAGTCCTCACCTGAGAAGACTGAGAATAGGCAAACCCTTCTCTATGTGGCAAACATTTGGGGGATGCCTATTGGGCACAAGGTTCTGTGGAAGATTGAGATGGGAAACCTCAGGGTGTGGCTGTCTGATAGGGACATATGACAGACACAAGTCAGAATGCTGTCAGTATGCGTAGAGAGATGGGGGACTCTACGAGTGTGGAAGAGGCACCAACGGCTTCAGGTGGGACAGCTGGAAGGGGGACGGGGGAGGTGCATTAGGGGAGTCTTCTCAAAGAAGGCAAGGCTTGAACTGTGTCATGGAGGAAGGCTGTGCTGTCCCAAACGATGGGGCAGGACCAGCAGAAATGGAAAGAAAGTGTATGCAGGGCAAAGAGAGCAGAGGCAGGAAAGCTCAGAGACATGGTCAGCTGGGATGGCACACAGAATGAGGTAAAAGGGAAATGGGGAGTCCTGTGAGGACCCTGAAGTCCTGCCATTGAGCCTTGGCTTAATCAAGGAGGCTCCGCATCAGGGCTGCAAAATGACACAAACAGAATAGAGTCAAGGAAGAGTAACCAAAGGAGAAGAGGCTGGAGGCAGGGAGACCAAAGGGTAGGCTGTGAATGTGTTCAAATGAGAGGCAATGAGAGGAGGCCTAAACTGATGTGGAATGCTGGGGATGGATGTGGAGGGTAGCAGTGGATGAGTGTCATTGGAAGGGTGAGAGATGGTAGGCAGACAATAGGCCCCATTGCTCTCTGCAGGACGACTTTCCATAGAACGTATATGCCCAAGTATAATCTGTACTACAGTCTATGACCTGGACAACCAGCCAGGCCAACTTTGAGGGTTACTGCACTAAGTATTAAGGCAAATTTTACTTTGCCATACTTATCATTTGCATGCACAGATACCATTACACAGGGACACTAAAAACAAAACAAATAAAAACTCCTCTATACACTGCCAACTAAAGGCATAAAAGTAGTAACTACTGCTTATTAAACACCTACTATGTAACAGACACTTTAAACTCATTTAAACCTCATTTAAACTTTACAATATCTGTGCAAGGTAAATATTATCATCCCCATCTTAGAGATGAACAAATAAAGGTTCCAAGAAGTTAAAGGACTTATCCAAGTGGCCACACAGGTGGCACTTGAAGAGCTAGGATTCACACTTATGTTGCCTGGCTGCAAAGCCCCTGCTTTTCTTTCTGTGCTGAACTCAGGCTTCACAATACATCAGCTCGTGATTTATGGAGCAGACAAGCAGAAGGAGAGGGCCTGTGCTCACTCCAGACAACGCTGATTTCTTCCCGCTCATATCTCTCCTGCTGAAGGTGGCCTGGCCTCTGCTGTGGTTGCCCTGTTTGCCCTTCAATTACAGTTCTGAAAAGACAGGGAGACCCTTAGGAGGGGCAAAAGTGTGAGAACAGAAGAGTTCGTCATTCAGCTGCATTCAGGAGCAAAAGACACTCTCCTATGAATGAAAAGAACATGTGTTTTCAGAACACTTTCCCTAGGAAAGGTTCAAAGCATCTTATAACCGTTATCACTTCATTCCTCATAATATCCTTCTGAAGTGGGTGTCAATTGTTGTGTGGCTTTTTAGCAGATGGAGAAACTGCAGCATAAGAAGAATGGACAAAGTCAGCCCAGCCAAAGAGCTAAAGAAAAGACTTCCAGCGTCAGTGCAGACATCGAACTGCACGGATCCTGTTTGCAGATTGCTAATGTGGAATAAGATGTTAAACTATCCAAGGAAGATGAAAGCATTAACTTCTGC